AACCTCCATCTCCCCTCTTCCAGTTTTCATCCATCCCCCCTTGCCCTCTCCCTCCCTGCCCTTGTCCCAAGTCCCTCCCCAGCTTTCCTGGAGCCCCTTCAGGCACTGGAAGCTGCTCTAAGATCTCCTCAAGAGATCTTATTATTCCAAGCTCCTCACAACGCCGGGGGAGATGTAACCCCCCCTCTCCAAGGCTGCATCTCCCTCACATCCACCTGCCGTCCCAGCACAGCCACCACCTGATCCTGTGCCTCAGTTTCCCCACTGCTCCCTCACACCAAGGCTGGATCCTCGGCCACCCGCCAGACACTGCCCAGGCTCCAGAAGCTTAAAATGCAATTAAGTGGAGTAGGTATTTTGCTGGCAGAAGCACAGCTGGCCGAGCCCATCCATCTCCCTCCTCAGACAGGTTTATTGTTCTGGCTTCTCCCTGCACGAGTGTTCCCTCCCGTCCCCAGAACGAAGGCGGCTCCACCAGCCACCCCACCTCAGCAACACATCTGTGATTTGTATCCACAGGAGGAATAAAACCAAAAAGGGTTTTGCAAAGCCCTGGTTTCCATGAGCTATGGGATGCTTTGGGCACCGTCTCTCCCCACCCAAGGGCAGGGCTGGGGGGAAGCTTGTCCTCCAACCCCTTTCCTCCCCCCTGCCAAGATTAATAAGGACATAAGAAATAAAAGTCCAAGGGGGAAAACCCAGAAGGGCTTGAGAAAAATTTAAGAAGAGGTCGCTTGAAGGATTCCCCAGGAAGCTGGGTACCAGTGCCATCCAACATCCCTCCTGGATGCCCAGGGATGGAAAGGAGGAAAGCAAGGTGGGGAGGGGAGGGGGGGGAAGGAACGAGGCATTCAAGAGGGAGGAAAAGACCAGACAACCAAGCACAAGGCTTGGCACCTAATTCCATCTCTGTGGCCAGCAGGGACCGTGGGCTCCTGCCCACCAGCCAGGTGCTCTTCCATCCACCGAGTCAATCCTGTCCTCACCTCAAAGTTAATGACACACTTAAACCTGTTTAACCTTCTGCACAGGCTTCTCTTTTATTTTATCAAGCAGCCTTGGAAAGGCTCCTGCAGCAAAGGGGGGGCCTGGGGTGACACCCTCCTGTACCCCCAGGGGTAACACCACCACACAGACCCCTCTGGGCATCATGGGATGGGGATGCTACACAAATAACACACTTAAAAGGGGAAAAGCTTTCAAAAAAATAAAGTAAGGGGTTATACCCAAACTTAAGCAAGCACAGGCTTCTCAGAGCTATGAAATTTGGGATGGCAGCCCAGGACTCCTGCTCCAGGATAAGGCAAAGCCAACTGATGGGAAAGAAGTCCAATTTGCTCCTGTTTTGGCTTAGCCAGGACAGGATTAGCCCCAAGGTCACCTCTGGGGTGCAGCACCTTGAAGGCACAAGCCCCCAGCACCACATAGAGCTCAGGCACCAGACAGGAAAGCTAATGCAGGTCACCTTTTGGAATCAGGGTTAAGTTTTTCATCCCCACCCTTTTCCTGCAGCTCCTGCCCCCATCCCAGGTAATTATCAGCAGGACATCAGGACTTGGTACCACAGGACACACCAGACACCCCCTGGCTCCTGAGCCCCATGTGAATACCCTCTGCAGCAAACCAGGGCTGTGACCCAGCACACAGGGATGCAGGGAAGGGGTGTTTCCCAGCCCCACATCTCTCACTCATCCCCAGGAGCAGGGACAGAGCTGGAAGCCACACCAAGTCACCCAGCCCCAGACTGTCACCCCAGGCCTCCCTTCAGCCCATCAGACAGATGTTCCTTCACTGCACCAAGCTCATCACACAGGGTCAGGGCTAATGGTGCTGCTGCAACGGAGGAAACTGAGGCACACAGGTGATTTGGCCAAGTCCCACAACACCAGCAGCCTGGCTTCATCCCCTGGGAAGGGCAGGAAGCCCAGGGAGCTGGGGTTTGCTGGGATACAGGAGCTCAGTCCAGAGGATGCCAGGGTGATGCCAGCCCTTCCCTGCAGAGCAGCTCCCACCTCCCACAGCCCAGCTGCTATTTAAAGGCAGTTTCCTCCACATGCTCCTACAGGAACGTGCCCTGGGCAGGAAATGCCAGGAGCCACTTTCCTCAAGGCACCAGCAGAGGCAGAGAACACAGTGCAATTCATCTCAAATGAGATGTATTTATGAACCAGCAAGGTCTTGTAGGCACCACAGCACAGGATCCCAGACAAGGTTAGTACTGGATAAGGGCTCAGAAATCCCAGTTCCATCCTGGGGG